AAACATTTTATATATATGTCATGAATTATGCATATATTTATAAGCAAATATATATCTATTTACATATAAACATAATACATATATTTAAATTTCTACTATTTCTCAAATCAGATATAAAGATTTAAATTATACTATATATTTTATATCCTTCTCCCAACGTCAATCCTAATATTTAAATTCAAATTTCGATATACGTATGAAGCGAGACATTAAAATTTGGAAAACAAACAATTAACATCGACTTTAAATAATTTCCCAATTTGCTGTTTGCCTTGTTCCACGTTTCTTCCCCTGATATTCTATCTACCTCGTCGCACCTGCGCGTGCTTATATCCGATAGCTTCGTTACACCGTGATCAAGATGCGAATACGTTTTCGGATGCACACATTATCGTGCAGAGATAAGAAAAATAATTTCAACTGACTGGTGTCGAAATCCAAATTGACAAAGATTTTGAAAATAAAAAGTAAAATCCAACGTCAACCTTCCAAACACGATGCGCACATCACAGGCAAAGATGCATAGCGCGCAGACAAAGCAGCCATTTTCTCACCTCTGCCCCTAACGTAAGTATAATCCTCGTTGCTCTCGAAGCCTCCGTCGAATATCTTCACTCTCTTCGCTTTCTCCTGCATATCGCTATCCAAACCGCTGTCGGAACTGGTCGGCGTGGTGGGTCTTTGCGAGGAATGCGTCAAAATGTCCTCCTGCTTCTTCCAGGCGGTGGTATAATTAAGCGGTCTGTGCCTCGAATCGTAATGCGCCATATCAACGTCAGGCGGTGCTTCTTTACATATCTTCCAATTCGAGTACATGGATAAACCGTGCTGCTGCGTGACGTACATCGGCTGTGGTCTGTTCAGAGTGCAGTAGAACACCCTGGTCGAGCATTTCAGGCCTAGATATGTATAAGCGTGCCCGTTCAGATAAAGCTGTCCGTAGGATTTCTTCGGCCGAGGGGTTTCCGGGCTGATGAGAGGAAGCGTGTTAGCCGTGGGAGTGATACCGTGATGCTTCTTCGGCGTGAACGTGCCTGGCTTCAACGGCAACGAGGTGGGCCTCAAGAACTTGCTCGAGTTGATCTCCTCCTTAGCAGCGTCACCGTTCTTCGGCGATTTCGTTTCGGGCTTGTCCACCTTCGCGATTAAATCTACGGAAGATTTGCTTGGCACTTCTGTCTTTGAGCTGTCTACGTTTACGAGCACCATAGAGGTCGCTGCTACATCGGGTTTCGTCTTCGCTCCGTTGAACGGCCCGTAATACTCGGTCAACTTCTCTCTGCTCTCGCTGAGATTCGCACCCTTCAGGCGACCGTTCTCCAGAGGCGGCGACGAGTTTGGCACGGCACTGTGCCCCAGCGAAACCACCGACGTCCTGCCGGTTTCCAGTTCGCTCACGCTCCACGTGGACAGCCTCTTTCTGCTTTCGGAAGACTCTTTCGGTGAATATCTCAGCTTGCTATAGGAATTCGAGGAGACCACGCTCGAGTCGATCCCGTTCGAGTAACCAAAGGCCTTGTCTAGCTTCGGGCTCTTGTCGTACGAGAACTCCCGCCTCTCTCTGGGACTCTCCATGCCCTTGTTCTTCATAGCCATGCTATTCTTGATATGACGGTCCAGTTCTGCCTTCGCGATCTCCCCCGTGTACGACAGCCTTCGAAGCTTGTCCGCTGAAATCTCGTTCTTCACGCTAGGAACTTTCGGGCTGGTTAATCCCACCTTCAAAACCTCGTTGCAAGGAGCCTTGAAGCCGAGCTTAGAGTCCTTGGCCGGGCTAGCGAGGTCCAGTGGCTGGCCCATCATAGGCACGTGTGCACTGGACATCGGCCCTGGAATTCCAGGTACACTTGGCGTTTGTATCTTCACCGAGTTGGCGAGATTCAAGGGCTGAGGGATCATGTGCAGACCGGGCAAGCCTGGTATCACTTTGTACCCGGCTTCACCGGTCGCTATACTCGTGGATATGTCTATGGCTGGCGCGAGAGTGTGTGGTCCGGGCATGCCAGGAACATAAGGTATGACTTTGCCACCGTGAAGGATATTCGTGATCCCTGGTTGCGGTAAAGTCAGCGGGTTGTAGGCAGTGATACTGGTCAGGGGGTTCAAATGGGGCTCCAGATAATTGTAGCACGACATAGTGGGGGCTATATTCGGAGTTGATATGTTCGGTATGATCGGCGCCAACATTTTCGGAGTGTTTGGCAGAGATATGGAGGAACTCGGAGTGCTGGCTGGCGTGCCCGGTGGCTTGTGCACCATCGTGCCTCCGGAGTGAAGACCGGACCTGACCACGATCGAAGCTGTCTCGGATGTCACGCACTTGCTGCTCACGATGTGCTCGCTCGTTGGAGAGTTCGTTTGCCGCGGCTCGATCCTCATAGTCTTCGTTTCACCGGTGTTGTCCAGTATCCTCACCTCCCCGCCGAACATCTGCAACGAGTTTGGTCGAGGATACTTGCTCAGCTCCTCGAGAGACCGTAACGTGGTGGGCACGGATTCCGATCTCTGTTTCTTCATAGGTGGCGCATACGCGTCGACCAATCTCGTGTTACCCAGAAGAGGACCAGGAGAGGGTAGAGGTTGCAGGGTGTTGTAATAATCGGAAGACTTGGAATCGAATTCGGACTCCCTCTTCTCCATCTCCAGTTGATACTCCCTGCGGGGACTCACGCTTCCTTTGCAGTAGTACCTACGATGGACTTCGAGGTTATCGATACTCGAGTAGGGGATGTTGCAAGAGGGGCAGAGATAGCCCTCGTTCTCGGTCGTCCTGTCTTGACCCGAGCATTGTGTCTTCAACAGGAGATCCTTGATTATCGAACCCTCTGACCCATTCGCGCAATCTTTGTTCTCTTGAACGAAGCTCTCGCTGTAACATCGCTTCCTCGATGACTCCTCCGCGGAGGAGAGGTTCAGAGGTTGGTCCGACTGCTTCGTTTCCACGAGACTCTGCTGCCTCTGGATCAGCTTGTGCAGTCGTGGGTCCACCGCCTCCACGATCGCCTGGTTGTCCGTTATAATTTTGTCGATGTGCTCCTGCACCTGCTCCGGATTCGGTTTCGGCGTGGCGCTAGTGTTCGTCGAGGAAGAGCTGTTGGTGGACGTGGAGGAAAGGTAACACGCTTCCGCGTCGTTATTCACGCTTTGCAGGCCGGTGTGGAATTTTGGCTTGTAGATCTTCCCGGTTTTGATAGTCTTCACGCTGGACACGGTCGTCGTCGGCGTTGACGACGGAGGCGGTGGTGGTGTTCCGGTACCGTTGCTCGCGCTGTCCGACAGACTTATGTCCGAGTCCTCTGATACCTGGAAAAAGAAAATTATACGTTTTTAAATAGAGAAAATTTGAATCCTAGTGAAATATACGTTTTTACATATAGAAAAGTTGAATGCTAGTGAAATATACGTTCTTAAATATAGAAAATTTGAATGCTAGTGAAATGTACGGTTTTAAATATAGGAAATTCGAATCCTAACGAAATATACGTTTTTAAATAGAGAAAATTTGAATCCTAGTGAAATATACGGTTTTAAATATAGGAAATTTGAAACCTAGTGAAATATACGTTTTTAAATATAGGAAATTTGAAACCTAGTGAAATATACGTTTTTAAATATAGAAAATTTGAATGCTAGTGAAATATATGTTTTTAAATATAAGAAATTTGAAATCTAGGGAATATACGTTTTTAAATAGAGAAAATTTGAATCCTAGTGAAATATACGGTTTTAAATATAGGAAATTCGAATCCTAGCGAAATATACGTTTTTAAATATAGAAAATTTAAATCCTAGTGAAATATACGTTTTTACATATAGAAAATTTGAATGCTAGTGAAATATACGTCCTTAAATATAGAAAATTTGAATGCTAGTGAAATATATGTTTTTAAATATAAGAAATTTGAAATCTAGGGAATATACGTTTTTAAATAGAGAAAATTTGAATCCTAGTGAAATATACGGTTTTAAATATAGGAAATTCGAATCCTAGCGAAATATACGTTTTTAAATATAGAAAATTTAAATCCTAGTGAAATATACGTTTTTACATATAGAAAATTTGAATGCTAGTGAAATATACGTCCTTAAATATAGAAAATTTGAATGCTAGTGAAATATATGTTTTTAAATATAAGAAATTTGAAATCTAGTGGAATATACGTTTTTAAATATAGAAAATTAGAATGCTAGTGAAATATATGTTTTTAAATATAGAAAATTTGAAATCTAGTGGAATATACGTTTTTAAGCATAGAAAATTTGAATGCTAGTGAAATATACGTTTTTAAATATAGGAAATTTGAAACCTAGTGAAATATACGTTCTTAAATATAGCAAATTTGAATCCGAGTGAAATATATGTTTTTAAATATAGAAAATTTTAAATCTAGTGGAATGTACGTTTTTAAATATAGAAAATTTGAAATTTAGTGGAATATACGTTTTTAAATATAGAAAATTTGAATGCTAGTGGAATATACGTTTTCAAATATAGAAATTAAATAAGAAATCGTGTAATAATTAACACGTAGAATCATTTAATTTCGATACCTCGCACACTGTTACATTGCATTAAATTTGATATATTAACACTTTACCAACCGCTAGCGATTCAACAGCATAAGCACATCCGACCGGCCGCTCAGCCGCAGATTCTCCCTGGCGCCCCCCAAATAAAAATGGGGAGCTTACAAAGCAACGCAACTGATACAACTAAGCAACGTACCTCAATACTAAATAACAAATTACTATTCATATAATGATAATGACTGTTCATCGCCATGACAACCGATTAATATTCTACATAGGTCGGTAAGCGTCGGTGACAAAAAGCCGATTAATAGGCTTCCGGTCGGTAAAGTGTTAATTAATAGCGATCTTCCAAATTTTATGAAATGACGACTGAGGGTCACCTCTCGAGTGCAAAGGGTTAATATAATTTTGAAATTGGACATTTTGTACATTTTTCGACGATTGTAAATGAATAAACAAACGTGGTCGCATATCCGATAAAAAAGCAAGATAACAGGGAGCATATTGATAATAAATAATATTAGTAATCCTAAATTTTGCCAAAAACGTAACAAAAGAGCAGTTGACGGAAACATCGCACCACTGATGGTTGCGAAATGAAATTTCTCCGAGTTCTAACACATCGGTACATTCTTCGCAACGCAATGATTCACGTGGTTTACCAGAAACAGATATCTCGTCGGGTAAACAAGGATACTGTTGAATGAACACGATGAAACCGCCAGCAGAACTTAACGTAATCGTATCCCATTACTTAAACGTTTCATTACACACGGCTGACCCAGTTTCAACGTTCCACCGAGCATCGCAAGTCCCGAAGCACGATTGTCCCGTGTCCTGGGAAGACGCGATAAGGGTGAGCAAGGCATTCGTACGAGAGAGCGTGCGAGGTAATATCAGAGGCGTAGGGTGAACAAGTCTAGACACACGTACCTTGCTGGCGTCACCACCCTCCATTTTCAGGGCGTGAGCGCGAGACCTGCAGTGCTTGTAGAGGTTCGACTTGGTCTTGAAGGCGAATCCGCAAGGGACGCAGGGGTACGGCCTCTCGTTCGTGTGAGCTCTGATGTGCTTTTGCAACACGCTGGGTTTCGCGCACGACAGTCTGCAATAAGGACACACATAGCCGCTTTTCCTCGACTCGGTCGGCTCTCCGTCCGCTGGTTCCGGGTAGACCTCGACCTTGATCGGATCCTTCGGCGAGTCTCTGCAGTCCTTGGTCGCTTCCTTCTTTTTAGCTGGCTCCGGGGAACCGTTGCTGGCCACCGCGTCCTTCCTCGGCTCCACCTTAGGTGTGACCTCGGTCGTCGCCATCTTCTTGAACTTTTTGTGCAGGTACTTTGGCTCGCCATCGTTATTGTTGTTGTTGTTGTTGTTGTTGTTGTTGTTATTGTTGTTCGCCAACTGTGGGTCTGTCATCGCCACAGTGTGAGTCTCTGGGGAAAGGAGAGAAGTTGCGAATCGTGAAGATGAGATTTTCAAATAAGATATTACTAATAAGAATTATTGATCGGGAAATTGAAAATTCCGAATTTATCGTTTAGAAATTAAAAATTATCAATTTATCGCTTAGAAATTAAAAATCACGAATTTGTCATTGAGAAGTTACGAAGTTTCATGATTTGAAAATCGAAAATTACGAATGTACGATTTCGAAACTAAGAAACTAGAAATTTACGATATTAAAATAAAAAATATGGAATTTATGGTACAAAAATTAAAAATAAGGAATTTTTAGTTCAAAATAGTGATATACGAATTAAAAATTACGGAATTATGATTTACAACCTAAAAATTAAAAATTTATGATGTAGAAATAAAAGAGTTGAATTCGTAATTTACGATAAAAAGGTTACGAATTATGAGTGAAATAGTTTATTAGTTAAAAATAACTGGAAACTATGAATTGATAGCGATATACGAATTAAACATTACGGAATTATGATTTACAATTTAAAAATTATTAATTGGCAATTTAAAAATTAAAACTTATTAATCTTCGATTTAAAAATTAAAAATTAAAAATTTCTGATATAGAAATAAAAAATTCGAATTCGTAATATACGATAAAAATGTTACGAATTACGAGTGAAATAGTTCTTCGAAATATTTGAAAGTTTTGAGCATTTTCGTGAAAATAATCAAACCTGGACGTAACAGAAAAACTTCAGGTGTTATTAGAGAAATTTCGGCGTGAGTAATTGCAAAGGACGGTATTACGCAGAATGAATGAAGCAGGAGAATAACAGATAGAGTCGCGATAGGCATACGCATACTGAATAAAAAGAAATATTGTTCGTTAGGCAGCGTGATTCACAAACAGATCCCAACTGTTTTCCAATACTGCGCGCGAATCAACTAGATTGTTCCGAGAATTTTTTCTACCAGGAACATCATAATGAATCATGCGCGATGAATAGGGTAATAGCTTACGATTGCGAGGAGCAGGAGATTCCGAGAAACGCGTAAGAAAAAATTTGTTAATATAATACCGACCGAGGCGTGAATTACACCTGATTATATATTACACAGTTATTGCGCGTTTTTCACGTGCAGCGAATAGCAATATTGCCATATTAAAACATTCGCGATTACGCTATAATACGTATGTACGGTGTATATACGTAGAAATGCGTGAAAGTAAAAATATCTTACAAGATTCAGCGTGTCCTTAAAAGTATGACACAAAGCGTGTAGTAACACGCCATAAAATTCACAAATATACCGAGTATATTCATTCCTTTTGTTAGCAGAGCATACTTCACGCGAAGGGTAAACGGAAAAGGCAGGGAATAACCACTCCACCGAGTTTACGACGCACAGCGCATTCTGTTGACGGCAATTGGGACTACGGAACTGCACATCTCGCCCTCTGATGCCAAATAAGATTACGAACTTTGAGTTATGAACGATACAGTTAAATTTATTAAATTCAATTCGTTTAGCGTCGGATCGAGGTATTAAACAATTAATTTTGCAATAAGCACGGTTTATCGTTTTCTTTGTTTGTATTTCTTTCTGTTTGTATTTATTACGAGATACTTTATCCCATTACCGGTACCAAGTGAGGATTCGATTGGATTAACCAGCGGAGGATAAGTGGAGCAGGAGGTTAGAGATACATTTGTACGTATTTTTCTTTCTCGTGTGAGATTTTATGCGCATTTTAAAACTTTCATTAAATGAGTAAATGAATATTATCATTGGTTTAAATTATGTCTTAGTACTTGAAATATTTAAATGTTTATTTAATATGTAGAAATATTGAATATTTGTTGTAATTATTGTATAAATGTATCTGAATTCATCACTGTAAAATTTATGATTATTAAATGGACGTCATATATCATTAATAAGATGAGATATTCTCCACTTTAAGAATATAATATATCTTTTAGGTATTTATAATTTATGTGATAGTAGTCAGTCAATAGCTACAAATAAGTAATTGAATAATATCTTGCCTCATTATTGTTTTATTATTTTTTAGAAATATAGTGATGTCCAATACGTGTTTATATAATATAAAATTGCATTATAGTGCATATTTTACATCTTTTGATGGAAAATGTACATGTTGTTACTATTAACGATTTGAAAAAATTTTGGATTTTTTAATTCATCAAAGTAATTTCTGACGAACAAACTGAACTATATTGAACTATAGTTAAACATACTCTACTATAGTTACTCATACTTTCCTCCTTTATGTAAGACTTAATGTATGTATGTATGTATCCATATAAATAAATATTATATTAATATTACTGTAATAATAGTAAAGTTATATATATATGATATCTGTTGTCAGACTATACTAAAGTATATACATGTATTAGATACATATATATATATATATAAATGTTTAAAGCCGATTTTCTTCAAAACGGAAGCTCATTCGCGAAAATGTTATATAATTTTTTCGATTTATTTTTTCATATAGAACCGACCTGTACTAAAATCTGCCACCAATAACGGGACACCCTGTATATTATTATTATTACAGAAAAATACATCTTACGTCAGAAGTATGTTTAACTATACTTCTGTTTATTCTACACATACTATATATTATACACATACACTATAAATGGGATATATTTAAGACAACTAAGCAAACTATAGTAACTATAAGAATAGTTACTATAGTACCTATAGTAACTTTCCACTATTTTCCATGCAATCGTTCGAACGATCGAATCTTTTATTGTCCATTTTTCATTTTCGTCCTTTCATACGCGGTGGAAAAATATTTTCGCGCGTTCAATTTCACTTCGCGTGGTTCCGCGGAGAACCAAAAATGTCCCCAAAAACAGGCGTCCCAACGGAATGTTTTACGACGCAGCAAGCGTGTAACAAAGAAATATACGAAGTTGTCAAGCGTGGAGAATTAGAACGGACAAACAGTCATAATTTACTATTTCTTAGTAACGTACTCATTAAAATATTTCGCAAATATAACGATGAAACAAACAACCACGTAACGTCATAGACTCGACTCACGATAAGAATATTCATTCGGTTATTTCACCGCGTCGTTGCTTATATAAACTAAATGAACGTTTCTTTCGCTTCATTTCAAAGCTGACGAATTATTTTTACTTATTTATTAACCCTTTGCACTCGAGAGGCGACCCTCGGTCGCCATTTAATCAAATTTTAAATATCGTTATTAATTAATATCTCGAATTTAAAATTGCCCAACTACGCGTGGAATATCGAGGTAAAATAATTCTACGTTTTACAATTAATTTGTACTTCTTATTTACCGTTTTGAAAATATCGTCGACTTTATGGCAGAATATGCATATTATGTTTCTGTAACGAAAAGATCGCCGAGTGCAAAGGATTAATAATATTAATATTTATTATTAATATTAATAAATCTAGTGTACATGTTAAGGATAATTCTGCTTAGTTCTATGTGTTCAACACGGTTCAATACGTACAATAATTTGTTAAGTGTACCAGGAAGTAGATGATGATTCGAGAGTTCAGAGTGTTTAATTAACCCTTTGCACTCGAGAGACGACTCTCAGTCGCCATTTAATTAGATTCTAAAGATCGGTGTTAATTAATATATGAAATTAAAAATTACCCAACGATGCGTGGAATATCGAAGCAAAATAATTATGCGTTTTAATTTGCATACGATTTCTTGTTTACCGTTCTAAAAACATCCTCGACTTTATGGCAGAAAGTATTCTAATTGAATTACTATTTTTCTGTAACGGAAACATCGCCGAGTGCAAAGGGTTAATTTCGGTTTTTTAAGAATTTTGGATTAGAGTTATCGCGTTGCAAATATTTCGTCTTTTTTTCTTTGAAAAGATGAAATGGTAATGAAAGAGAAAGATAGATGTACTTTTTATACTTTTGTAATTAAAACTTGCTTTTTTTGTTGGATTTTGTTGGTTTAGTATAGGATGTGACTATTATAAATTAGGTAAAAAAGAAATTTCAATTTCGAGATAAAAACAAAATTTTCTATTTGTATTATATTTATTATTTTTTTTTCTTTTATATTTATATTTTAAAACTATTTTAAAATTCGGAAAAATAGTTGGCTCTATATTGTTTGTCTTTGCTTCCCTGTAAAATTATTTTCTTTTTGAAAATTATATATACTTATATATCTATTTTCATCATACTAACATAAAAAATATTATTTATTATACTATTATTTTTTTATTTTTATTTATGTATAATGTTATTTGGTATATTATGATATAATATATTGTAAATAATATTATTTATTTAATTGCAAATTACAGGATGGTAGCTCTAGTGTTAATTTTAAATGAATTTTAAAATTGTAACAATTTTAAAATTGTTTTACTATCTTCAAATATCCTAACAGATTATGTTTGTGAATTGCAGTTTACAAACTTTCCAAATTTTTTTAATAATTGTTTAGAGTACTTTTCTTTAAGTAGTCAATTATGCAAAATTTAATTGAACTCTTCAGTAAATATAATTTCGAATATTCGACAGCAATGTAAACGTGTGTGACTTTTTAAAATTAAATTAAATAATGGTTAATCTTGGATTAATTTAATCCTGAATTAAACTTTTATATGTCTATTGAGTTTTCAGTTTAAACTCAATTTTATTATTGGAAGTAACTAACGGGGTGTTCAGCAGTGCATCAATGAAAATTTCACCAACGCAAAATTGATTTTGTGATATTTTTACAGCGAAAATTTGCCATCTGTGAATAATTGCAGAAAAATAATCCAAGGTTCCGATATAAACGGTTCAAACTTCCTTTGTATTAGAGAGGGTTAAGATGTGGTTATGGCAAATATAGTAAGGAGGGTCAATTTCCAATTTAACCCTCCACAATATTTTAAAATTAATATTTTAAGCTACCTATTTATAACGGCACTTACCCCACTTCTCTTCCATTACGACAAGAATTAATTATAATGATTTT